TCCCCCGCTTGACTCAGACCTCTGTAGGGGCAGAGGCTGTGTTTCATTCATCTTTTACTTCCTAGAACTGGCTACTGCCCCTGACACGCTGGGCCGCCGTACGGGGTAAAGGTTTGTTCACTTGTGGAACTGTGCAACTGAGGAAAGTGCAATTGATACATAACGCTACATCCATCCAGTGGCATCTTTGTTTGAGTGAATGTGTCCAGTTCTCTGCTGAGCACAGACTCAGCAGAGGGTGGGAGGGGGCAGCCCAAGGACTGGGGGCTCAGGGCAACGTGGAGGCGTGGGGGGGGGGAGGGGGCAGCTCCCAGATCGGAGAACATTCTCCTTCGACCACCCCCACTTTATAGTAGCCCCTGCTGCATTGTCAAGGTAGACATGTGTGCTCAGGAAGCAGGCGGGAAGAGGCAAGCCTTCAGTCCCCATCAAGGACCTGAATAAAGCCCATGTTGTATAGTGGGGAGAAGACTATGCCTGAGTAAGCCAGGCCTGGGCTTAAATCTTGATTCCATCAGTTAGCAGCTGTGGATTCAGATAAGTTACATAATTTCCTTTATTTTATTTAAATAGCCTAACGTGGAGTCCAGTGCGGGATTCAAACTCACCACCCTGAGATCAAGACCTGTGCGGAATTCAAACTCACCACCCTGAGATCAAGACCTGAGCTGAGATCAACAGTCAGACTGCTTAACCAACTAAGCCACCCAGGGGCCCCTAACCTTCCTTTATTTTAAATTTCCTCAAAAAAAGGGGAAAACAATACTTTTTCAAAGGATTATTGGCATAATTGAAAGAGACAATGTTTTTGAAGCCCTAGTCCAGTGTCCGACATGTCACATATACTCAATAAATGGCAATTATTAGTCACAGTACTGATAATAGTATTGATATAATTATTTGGTTGGGCGGAAAAGAGAACTATCCTTTTCCTCATCATTCCTCCAGTAAGATTTTGTGTCCTTTTTATAACAGTTCAGAGAGTTAACGATTCATTGAGAACCAGTCATAACTTTTAGAGCTGGTGAACTTAATCCTCTATTCCTTTTTCCTCATTTTTTTCCTCCCCTCCCTCCAAACCCTTCACTTTGGTTACCTCTTTCTCTCCTTTTGTTTTTATAATGACCCCCAATTCTGACCCACTCCCTTCCCAATCAATACTCGATACCACATTCTTCATTTCATTCTAAGGGGTGAATGGCTGATAAGCACTTATGATGGTATTCCCAGGCGATACTTGCATACAAAGAACAGAATCCTTCAACTAAAAACATTAAGATCCTTTGAGTTCTGTAGTTTGTCAAATCACAGGTTGCAATATAAAGAAACCAACTGAGTGGCTCTTGGCTATCATTCTTTTTATATTATTGCCCCTTCTTACATGTTACTCAATGTACTAATGTAGAGGGAAAAAACATAAACAATTTCCAAGTCTAGGGGACAGGTAATTGCTTTAACCTTCAAGTAGAAGTTACTCTTATTTAACAATCCATTTTATTCCATTACATGTCCCAGGTTTTAAATTACCAGCCCTGCTGAAGCTCAGACTGAAAAATGAGTAAACAAAGGCTGACATCAGAAAAGTTAAGCAGAGGAAGTGATATTGATAAAGAGTTGAGCCTGGAACTGAACATTCTCAGACTTCTTTCTCCAAAGGAAAAATCTAACTTAAGTAATAAGAGTCTATTCTCTCTCTTTTTTTAATGTTTATTTTTTTTAGAGAGAGAGAGAGAGAGAGAGAGAGACAGCAAGCACGGGAGGAGGAGAGAGAGAGGGAGGCATAGAATCCGAAGGAGGCCCCAGGTTCGGAGTTGTCAGCACAGAGCCCCATGTAGGGCTCCAACTCACGAACTGTGAGATCATGACCTGAGCACAAGTAGGACGCTTAACCAACTGAGCCACCCAGGCATCCCATAAGAGTCCATTTTCTATACAGCCCAAGACAATGTCACTTAATTAGGAAATGACAATTTGGAAAAAAATATATATCTCTTTCTGGATCGTATCTGACTAAGGTACCAATGGCATCATGCATCAAGGGAGAGACTGATACATCGAACCACATCAAAACTAAAAACTTTTGCAGAGCAAAAGTCTCCGTAAGAGGATAAAATAAGCTACAGATTGTAGGAAAGATTTGCAAATCAAAGAACTCTCGAAACTCGACAGGGCAAACAGATAATCAAACTAGAAAACGGGCAAAAGACATTTCACACAAGAGGATATATGGCTTGCAAACAAGCACATGAAAAGATGTGCAACCTCATTAGCCATTAGTGAAATGCAAACTGAGACACCAGGGCTACTTTTATAAAAATGACCTCAAAATTGTGACAATACCAAATGTTGGTAAGGATGCAGAGAAACCGGAAAGCTCCTTTATGCCGGGGGGAAGGTAAAATGGCACAGCCACTCTGGAAAACAGTTTGGTAGCTTCTTAAGAAACTGCGACTACCGTATGAGCCAGCAAGTGCACTCTCGGGCGTTTATCCCAGAAAAGTGAAAACTTATGTTCACACAAAAACCTGCACATGAATGTTCACAGCAGTTTCTTTTGTGATATCAAACCCTGGAGCCAGTCCAGAGGTCCTTCAATGGATGAATGGATACACAAGGTGTGGTACATCCCCCAAAGGTTATATACTGTATGATTTCATTTATAGAACATTCTTGAAATGACAAAATTACAGAAATGGAGAACAGATGTGGCTATAAAAGGGCAACATGAGGGATCCTTGTGGTGATGGAATGTTCCGTAGCTCGATCGTATGAATGTCAATATCCGGGTTGCGGCATGGCACTATAGTTTTGCAATATGGTACTGGGATATAACGATTTTTAAGAAATATATATTTGCTCATTCAAATGACCCAAAGTTTATTTCTCAGATATATTTGGACTTCCTCCACAGTTCCTGAAAACACTTCAGCGCCATAAAGGTGAAATGGGTATCTTGTAGTTAAGGAAAGCCACTTTTGGATCTCACCCAAGGGCAAAGGCTGGTTGCCATGAGAACCAAGTCTGAATGGGGAGTTGGAACTTTCGGCCCCACCCCCTGACCTCCAGGGAGGGGAAGGGTCAGAGGTTGAATTTGCCGATGGCCAAGGATTTAGTCAATCCTGATTATGTAATAAAGCCCCCATAACGACCCAAGAGGATAGGGCTCCAAGCTCCATGGCAACAGAAGTTCCTTTGTTCAGGACCTCCCCCCATGTATCTCTTCATTTGGTTATTGATTCACATCCTTTAATAAACTGCTAAATGTAGCTAACTGTTTCTCTGAGTTCTGTGAGCCGCTCTAGTGAACTAATCAAACCTAAGTTCTTTGTCGGTGGAACCCTCCAATCTGTAGCTGGTCAGTCAGAAGCAAAGTCACTCGCTAGTCATGTCTGAAGTGGCAGTAGGACTGCACTTTTTTTAAAATGTTTTAAAAATATATTTATTTTTGAGAGAGAGAGAGAGACAGAGCATGAGTAGGAGAGGGGCAGGGAGAGGAGGAGACACAGGATCCGAAGGGGGCTCCAGGCTCTGAGCTGTCAGGGTTCGAACTCACCAACTGCAAGATCATGACCTGAACCGAAGTCAGACGCCCACCCCACTGAGCCACCCAGGGGCCCCAGAACTGCACTTTTAACCTGTGGAATCAGATGATATCTTCAGGTAGTGTCACAATTGCTTGTCGTGTGGGAAGCCGCTCCTCCCACATTCCAGTTGGGTCTGGGAACCCTGAAAGAGTTACTATTGAGGGAAGCTGGGCACAGAGGGCTCAGGATCTCTCTGTATCATTTCTCACAATTGACTGTAAACCTACAACTATATCAGTAAAATTTTAAATTAAAAAAAAAAAAAAAACCGGCTGGCTCAGTCGGTTAAGTGTCCGACTTCGGCTCAGGTCATGATCTCACGGTTCGTGGGTTCGAGCCCCGCGTCGGGCTCTGTGCTGACAGCTCGGACCCTGGAGCCTGCTTCAGATTCTGTGTCTCTCTCTCTCTCTATGACCCTCCCGAGCTCGTGCTGTGTCTGTCTCTGTCTCAAAAATAAATTTAAAAAAAAATTAAAAAAAAAAAAAAGGAAACACACACACACACACACAAAACACCTTTGGGCTTACTCTTGTCCAAGAGGTATAATCATGTCACTGGTTGCAAAGGACTTTGTCATAGAAGTAAAACCTCTGTTTCCTAAAAGCGAATTAGGTCACACAGTCAACTAGTAATAGCAAGTCATTTAGCAAGCTGTACACGAAAAGACGTAGAAACTTGGCAACTGAATTTTATTTCATATTTGTCCACAGCCTAGAAGACTGAGTAGGCTGTAGTGATCAAAACAGAAATAACCTTGTTTCAACAAATGATAGAATATTTGAAAGAAGGAAGGGTTGCCAATGTCTAGAGAATCTATGATACTCCATTAACAGGTCATTTGTGTAGGTGCCTGGAGGATTGAGGAAAGAAAGGGGTGAGGTTAAAGATAGTTGCAAGAGTATGGAAGTAACATTTTTTTAAATCTTGGCATCAAATCTGCCCACCCATTGTACAAGCCACAGCCCAAATAGGCACCGGTACACTTGTAACCCAATAACTAGCGAAAAGGAACTATTTTTTTGTTGGTGGTGGTGAGAAAAAAAGCTGTCATTTCTTTGTAAACACCAAAAGTAAGAATAAATGGAAGGGTACTAAGTTAAGGAAATGGAACAATAACTCTTCAAATATATCCCCCTCCCCAATTACACAGGCAAATCACCCTACAGACAAGTGTTTTTCAGCCTGAATATTCATCAGTGTCACCTATCATACCAATTGCATTTGGATCTTGTAACAAAACGTTTTCCATAAAAGCTAAGACATGAGAAAAACAAAACAAAACTAGTACATGTACACATGAATACAAATTAGTCCCCTTTAACATCTATGAAGCTATATAATAGTCACAGTAACCACTAGTTGTAAGGCGGTTTTCAACTGATGGCGCAAAGAACCAGGCACAAAAATATCAGGCCGTCATTTTGTAGGTAGGGTATTATTTCCTACAGTTACCGTTTAATTACAGAGGTACAGTGTAACCGACAAGTATTTCGGTGTTAAAGCAGGAGTTGCACGGCGGCGGTGGCACGGCGGAACGGAAGTGAGGCTGTATGTGGCAAACGAGTGTGGCGTGGAGCAGATGTTGTCTAGGCGTGGCACGAGCGGGTTAGAAGTTCATCAGTTGCTGGTGCTTCATCCGATTTTTCAGTGGCCATGTTGTCTTCGTTGTTCCCAGGCAGAGTTTCTTCGTCGTCGTCGTGTAGGAAGTCTTTCGAGATCAGTTGTCTAGCGAGCTTGATGTTCATGCCTTCGTTGTAGTGCAGCTTCCTTTTCATTTCGAACTGCCGCTGCTTTTCATGCCTATCGAGAAAGATCCTGCTGCTGTGTGCTCCGTCGTTTTCAGGCTCCCCCACCTGACGGTTGAACTCGGAGGTACTAGTGGCGGCTAGCTTCTTAGTTAAAATGTCCGGGGTCATGGCTTCTTTGGCTTCGAGATCATTCAGGGCGTCTTCCCCGTCATCTGGCGGGCCGAGGTGGGGACTGTTGGGTTCGTTTAACTTCATGAAGTCGTAATCTCTGTACGCCGGACGGTATGTCGCCAAGATGTTCGATTCGTCCCACTTTTGGGACTTTTTTCTTTGTACCTCCTGAATGACCCCTCCGGACTGCTGGTTGGAGGCCGCGACCGAAGAAGCAGTGGAGCTTTTGTTCTTCAAAATCCCCTTGATGGGCCGATGGGAAGCGGTAGAGGTCGCCATGCTGGTGGTGGAGCGAAGGGCCACTGTGTGACGGTCGGGCCACCGCGGCAACCTACCGGTGCGCCCAGGGAAGCCGCAGCGTGCTCTGCTCTGGATAAAGGTCCCAATGCCCTATCAGCTTCACCCCAGCCCAGCGTCACAAATGACACTGCAGACGACGCCACAGAGCTGACCGCCGCCGTCATGGCCGCCATCACAGCCTCACAGACCCCGCTGGCTTTCGTTTTTTTAAAAGGTAGCCTGTGTACTGGTGGCTGTACAAAATGTACTCTTGTACATGTGGGTCCCTGTCAAAAATTGGAATCACCACTTTGGTTGGAAAGATTGGAGGTGTAGGTGCTGGAAGGTGATTACCTTCTGCTCCTTCTGTTGCCTTGCACACTTCCCCCTCCCCTACCTATTTACCTACACGTGCACACACACACACAACACACACACACCCAAGACCCTTGCTCTTACTGTCCTATTCCATCTCTTGGTTAGTGGCCCCAATATCTAGCCAGTTACAATAATTAGGAAACGGGGCACCCTCCTGGCTGCCTCACCCTCCAATCCACCCCTCAGGTACTGGCCTAAATATTTCAAGAAACTTTCCAATGCTCTCTCTTCCGTTACCACCCTCTTTCAAGTCACCCCCATCTCTTTTTGGGCCTACAGTCACAGCCTTTGAACTGCACCCCACCACCCATAACCTTTCCTGCTGCCTTCTTACCTCTTATCCCTCTACCCAGAGTGGTCTTTCAAAAACACCTGTCAACGGGGCGCCTGGGTGGCTTAGTCGGTTGAGTGTCCGAGTTTCGCTTAGGTCATGATCTCGCGGTTCATGGGTTCGAGCCCCGCGTCGGGCTCTGTGCTGACTGCCGGCTCAGAGCCTGGAGCCCGTTTCAATCTGTGACTCCCTCTCTCTCTGACCCTCCCCTGCTCATGCTGTCTCTCTCTCTCTCTCTCTCTCTCCTAGAAATAAATAAAACATTAAAAAAATTTAAAAAAAAAGTTTCAAAAACACCTGTCAAATCTTGTCACTTCTCTCTCTCAAACCCTTTAAGAGCTGCCCATGTTCTGTAACATAAAGGCCAAAAAAAAGCGGCTTTCTGAACTCCTCAGACATACATCCGGAGCATTCTGCCCCTAAATTCTCCCCACCCTACCTCCAGCTTTCAATTCTGGCCTTTCCGTTCCTTTCACCTTCCTTCCTGCCCCACGGGCTTTTTCTAGGTTCTTCCCACAGCCTGGAATGACCCTTCACTTTTCAGCTGAATCATTATTGCTTTCTACAGGCCTGTCTCCTGAGCCCGAGGGAAGATAGGCCTTCCTCTGCTCTCGTGGTTTCTCATGCCCCTTGGCAGTTGTTGTGATCATATTATCTATGGACACACTAGATGGTCATCTCCAAGAGAGGAAGATGCCTGTTTTGCTCACCATTGTCTCCAGCTTCGTGCGTTCGCCACAGGATGCTGTAGCTGGCACACAGTAGGTATTTCAAAAATATTTATTGAGTGAATGACAAATGAGAGGTGACGGGAAACGGGAAGAAGGAGATGTGTGAATACAGAAAAGAGGACTCCAAGTCACTAACAACTTGTCAAATCAGTTGTGTGAGGGGAAAAAGGGGAGGGAAGGCCCGCATGTGGAATTGGGGGGCTGGTATGGGAGTGACTTTGGAATGTTTTGTCCTTTGCAAGCCTCGTATTTCACATGTGGCGACATTCTTCTAGAAAACGGAAAGGAAATTAAGATCCAGTTTCACATACTCCCCCCTCCCCGCCAGTTTTTTCTGTTCCTTCTGATAACATTTCGTTTCCTCTTCTCTCCCTCAAGGTCCCTCTGCATTTTCGAAACACAGAAGTAAAAGCACGAAAGAACTGGAAAACTTTCACAGGGGTCTTGAGCCCTCGAGTTCAAGCTGTCCTGTATTCCGGCGATCACTTTAAAACTGTGTTATTCATCTCAGAAAAAGAAATTTCTTGATACCGTACTCTTTGGAAAAAATTTAAAAAGCTGTATTATGTGGTGAGGGCTTTCAGGGATTCAAAAGCTGATATTCAAGGCTATAGGAAAACCCTCCGGTATGTGAGGGGAAGAAAAAGCAACCTTCATTATTCAGAAGCCTAACTGAAAGGCAGCACAGAAGCTACACAAATGTGGTTTGTCCTCCTCGACGGCAAGCACAGTGGGCCTGTGCATGTTTAGCTGTAAACAGGATGTTAGAGGAGACGCTGAGCCCACTGCATTGGGATTCGGCTTTTGTCTGTCCACAGCACCCACCCCCACGTACTGTGATCTGAATATACGAGCTGCTCAATATATAATGAGGCAGCGATCCGGTAGTTCATGTGCTTTCTGAAATGCATCTTTCAGTAAGCACAATGGCAGCCGTGGGGGGGCCGGGAGCCCGGCGATTGTGACCTATTGCATGGGCCACAGACATGATTGCTGAAAGAGCGAAACCACCAGGCATGACAAGTTGCAGTTGTGCGTTACTTGAAAGTAATCCCTTTGCGCCTACCATTTGCTAATTAGCTGCTTAATGAAAATCTCCCCAAGAAAAACCCAAGTTTTGACTTCTTGTCGTCACACTAAAAATTCTCAGTCTCAGCAACGCTACCCCAAGCTTCAGAGTTAAAACAGTCGGAAGTCTTTCCAACATTCCTCTTTTTTTATGCCATTCACTTGTTACTGCCCTAGGACAAGAACTCAGCAGATATGTCTGAAGCTCCAGTGTGTGTGTGCGCGCGCACACACACACACACACACACACACACACACTCCAGGGTTAACTAAAACTTTTCCGGTCAATAATACGTTATATGAAATTTAGACACAGGCCTAGAAAGTCCTTGCAATAAATATTTAGCGTCCCCACCCCCACCCCAGTGCATTTCCAATAGCGGAACCTCCATTTCAAATACACACAAGGTGAAATGGTGCTTCAGTTGTCCTCAATGGGTTAATGTGGTTTGTTGGCTTGTTTTTCAAAGTGTATTCATTTATTTTGAGAGACAGAGTACGTGCGTGCATGTGCGTAGTGGGGAGGGGCCGAGACACTCCCTGCGTTGAGAGGGAGAGACAGAATCCCAAGCAGGTTCTGTCTGGTCAGCGCAGAGCCCAACGAGGGGTTCGAACCCCCAAACTGTGAGATCATGACTGGAGCTGAGATCAAGAGTAAGACACTTAACTGACTGAGCCTTCCAGGCACCCCCTCAATGGGTTGATGTTTGATAAATGCATCTAAATATCCGTGCTGTTCTTTCATCAGTTTTAAAATACATTAAACTATATTACTGATATTTGAAATGTCATTTGAACCCTCTGATATTTACGCAGGATCGGGGTATTCTGCAGAGCACTGCTTGTTAACTGTGGCAGGAGATGACTTCACGGGCTTTGTTTCTTGGGCTGAAAATCACCTCTTTTCTACGGAGACCTTCTCCAAGTGCCACCAGTACAGGGGGTTGGTTCAAAAGGAGAACCAGGCCAGGGCCAAAGAAATTCTCAGTGAAAGGTGGGAACATCTAAGAAACCAAGAGTTGTCACCAACAAGGAAGATATCCCAGGTGTCCCACTGGGTGCCGTTAGTGAGAGATTAGTAAAATTTTGAGAAGGCAGTGGGTTCTTTGGGGACCAATTGTGCTCCCGGAAGTGGAGATTAATCCTAGTTTCGCTACGTAGTATCTGAGGTCATGCATCAGTTTATCCAAGAATGGTCCACAGTACTTGGAGAATTATGTTAGCTACTGTGTGGTATAAAAACAAACGTGCTACTTGGTTTTGAATATATGTTTCTTGCCCAATTTCTCTCTCTCTTCTCTCTCTCTCTCATATTCCAAACCCAGATTTCTAAATTTTTTTTAATGTTTCATTTATTTCTGAGAGAGAGAGAGAGAGAGCGTGAGCAGCGGAGGGTCAGAGAGAGAGGGAGATACAGAATCCGGAACAGTCTCCAGGCTCTGAGCTGGGTGTCAGCACAGAGCCCGACATGGGGATTGAACCCACAAACCATGAGATCATGATCTGAGCCGAAGTCGGACACTTAACCGACTGAGCCACCCAGGCGCCCCTAAAGACGAACTTTGAAATGAGTTAGAAGGGAAAGATTATTTAAAAATTATATTAAAAAAAAAAAACAGTGCAACTGAGAAAAAAGAAACGTAGAAAACCACCTCACACCTTATAACAAAGTTGATTTCAATGTATATCTTATAAAATGTAAAGGTGAGGAGAGCCTGGGGGGCTCAGTCAGTTAAGCTCCCGACAAGCTGACCCAGAGACAAGGATTCAAGTGCAAGTGTCTATACTTGGGAAAAGATTTGCAGAAAACACTAGTAGGGGAGTGGGGAAATGAGATAGGGGAGGGCAGGAGGCAAAGGGCACATCACCAGAGCAGTTCCTATTGTGGGCAACTAGAGGTTAATCCTGCTGGGAAACTGGGAATCAGTGGGGAAGAACGACCCCCATGGCTCACCTCCACCTCATGGGTGAGGGTGCTGATGTGTATTTATGCGTCGACTGCTGCCATCTTCACTTAAGGCCTGCTGGGAGTAGGGAGGGGCGTTAATTCCCTAGCGCTCTGGATTCCTGCTGGAGCACGGAGAGTGGACGGCCCATGTGTTGATGCATCCTCTCATTGGCTTCCTCCCATCCCTTTTCACAAGCCTTCCCCTGCTGTCCACCTCTGCTTTCACACGCAGAACCCCCCCAAAGACAAGGATTGTCCATGTTATCTCCAATCCCCCCATACCTAACGCATAATTCACGCCTGTCCATACTCTGGCACTTGCCCATATTTCTGTAAAATGATGAAGTGAGGAAAGTGGACCAAAATCTTTTGAAAGGAGGGGTCTGACAATATGGGCAGATGTAGAAACATCTGGGGAGGCAATGGTTTTCCATCTTTCTCTCTCTCCCCCCCTTTTTTTTTTAATTTCTGAGAGAAAGAGACAGAGACAGTGTGAGCAGGGGAGGGTCAGAGAGAGAGGGAGACACAGAATCCGAAGCAAGCTCCAGGCTCTGAGCTAGCTTCAGCACAGAGCCAGACGCGGGGCTCAAACCCACGGACCGTGAGATCATGGCTTGAGCCGAAGTCGGATGCT